TAGTTCCCTTTTAGGAAAGTTTTATTGTGGTATAATTCACAAACCATAGTCTTCACCCATTTTAGGTGAACAAATTTAAATGTTTTTTAGGAAATTTAGAGTTGAGCATGCATCAGAACATTTTTTCCTTTTTAAGAATATATTTTGGATGACATTTAAACTGAATTTTAACTCGAGAAGGGAAACCTACATCATTACTTTTGCCAATCAACCTGTCAACACATTGATTATTCAAAACTGTAGCAAGACAAACTGCCCCCTTACAATTTTTTGAGAATTTATATACCATAAAGCTGACATTTATAAAATATATAGTTCAGTGGTTTTTATTAATAGTATATTCACAGTTGTGCAACCATTCCCACTATCTAATTACAGAACATTTTCATCACCCCCAGAAGAAATCCCATACCCATTAGCAGTCACTCCCCTTCTTCCCAGCCCCTAATTAGTGGCAGCCACTAATCTGTTTCTATAGATTCGCCTATTCTGGACACTTGTAAGTGGAATCATACAATATGTGGCTTTTTGTATCTGGCTTCTTTGAGGTTACTTTATTCCTTTTTATGGCTAAATAGTATTCCATTACATGGATATACCACATTTTGTTTACCCAGTCATCAGATGAACATGTGATGGGTAGTTTCCAGTTTGGGGCCACTGTGAATAATGCTATGAACATCTGCGTACAAGATGTCTACACATTTGTAATTCTCCTATGTATAAACCTAGAATTCCTGGGTCATATGGTAGCTCTACATTTAACTTTTTGAGCTGTATGTTTAACTTTTGAGGGAACTGTCAAACTGTCTTTCAAAGTGGCTGCACCATTCTATATTATTACCAGCAATGTATGAGGGTTCCTATTTTCCCCACACCCTTTGCTAACACTTGTTACTGTCCGTCTTGATTATAGCCATCCTAGTAGAAGCGGTATCTCATTGTAGTTTTGGTTTGCACTTCCCTAATGATTAATGATGTTAAACTTTCTATGTATTTATTGACAATTTATATATCTTCTTTGGAGAAATACCAATTTAAATTCTTTGCTAATTTTTTAATTGGGTTGTCTTTTTGAATTCCAAGAATGCTTCATACATTCTAGACACTACATTCTATTTACAATCTATTTTTAGAACAATTCCATCAGTCCATAAAGATCCTTCTTGCCTATTGTAGTCAATTCCCACCCCCAGGAAACCTAGTGTCAGGCAACCACTAACATGCTTTCTGTGTGTTTGGGCAGGTTCCTCCCTCTAATGAAAATTTGTCTCCTAAGTATTGTGAGCTTATGAGAGATTTGGCTTTACTTTTTAGAAGCCCTAGGCTTAGCTTCCAGTATGCCATGCACTGCTCTGGAGTTCAGCAAAAGTCCTGTGAGAAAATCAGTCATGTATTTGGGGTGTCTTGGTTTCCAATGTACTCTATAACCAAGAGCCTTGTGATTTTCTTTTCTCTGGTAGAGCCAGCCCCCACTGCATGATCCACACCCAATCTTCAGTTCTGCGCCCAGAATAAGCAAATGCCCTCAAGAGACCATCAGTTTACCTCACAAGGGTTTGTCCCTTGAAAATTCTAATTCCTTATTGCCTAGCACATATTCTGTTTAAAATATTATCTTGGTGTTTTAATATAGTTTTTTTATGCTCATTGCAACAGGAATATTGTGTTGCTGTGACCTATATCCTACCCATCAATTACTACATGTTTTTACTAAGTCTTGAGGTCTTGTAAGACAAGTTCCCTTTCTTCCCCCACCTTCAGATATATGTTAGCTAGAGAGAGGGGGGGCGCTATTCAGGGGCATAACTCTGCCATATGAATTTTTGAAATCCATCTATTTGACAAAGATTTGAAATTTTCATTCTTTTGACATCTCCTTCCATGAACATGGTATACCTATCCAATGAGCAGATTTTTATAATATTAGGTCTTTCAATAATGTCTTGTGCTTTTCTCCATAAAGGAATTGCACATTTTTTCTTAGATCCGACCCTAAATAGCTTAGGATCTTTTGTTTTTAAAGCAATTTTTGTTTTTCAGAATAGGTAATAGATTCATCAATTTGTAAAAGCTCAACAAGTACACATTGATAATTTCCCACCCATTTTCCTCAGTCATCCAGTTTTCCTCCAGAATACCAATGTTACCAATTTCTCTATTAACTTTTAATGTAGTTAATATTTGTATTTAGTAACTATTAATTTTTGTTCCTCGATCTTAATCTAGAAATCCAGCTGAATTCTATTAATTTGTAGGTTATTTCAGATTTTATATACGCATCATCATCTGCAAAGAGTATCACTTTGTCACTTCTTTTTCATTCCTTATTCCTTTTACTAGTCTTACTGAATTGGCCAGAATGTCTCTAAAGTAGTTGTGGAAAGTGGCTGGTTAGCACCTGTGACAGACAGCAATCCTGACTTTAATGTTTCTTACATATATATGACATTTGCTGTAGGTTCTTGGTAGAAATATTTACCAACTTTAAAAAAAAAAGTTACCTCTGGCCAAATTTTGCTAAGAATGAGTATCATGAAAGTTTTTGTCAAATTATTTCCTGCACCTATTGAAAAGATCATATGGTTTTTCTCCTTTAAAACCACTAAATGTGTTAAATCACCTATAGGGAAAAAAGTAGTCTCAAATAAAACACTTTCACCCAAAGTCGTTATTTATTTTTATAAGGGGGGGGAAATAAAAGAACCTTTTATGATAGTGAAAATATACTTTATTTTTTTAATACAATAGCTGCCAGCAATATACTGGTGTTGATGTTCCAGAGAGAAATGAAAATACAAGCATTCTACAATAAGCTTTCATTTGCTTGCTGAAGAAATGCTAAAGAAAATACTCCAATTCTGTTCAACATTATGGCTTGAGGGGTTGAAATTTTTTTCCATGATAAAAATTTTAGTGGCCTAAACCTTGATCATTTATAAAGGATGGAGTAAAGAAAAGTCCATATATCAATAATGAATGCTCCCCTCTCTATGAATTAAAATACTGGTTATAACCAGTGTAAGAAATTGGTGAATCAATAAACTTGACAAAATGTGTATCAAAATGTTCATGAAAAAATACATTTCTATTTCCTCTCATTTTTACTTTGTAGTATTCTCTAAATGGTTTTATGAAGTGCACAGAAATAAAAAGCTATCTACACACAACTCTGGAGAGATTCAAAACCCAACAGAAGTTAAAATGCCTATATTCTAGAGTTGATCCACTTAGTGTAAGAATAAATGTCAGAAATCTCTTAATTTTATATAGATCACTCAAAGGTTTAAAGATAAATTGTGAAAGCCAAGGTTACCAAGAAATCTTATTTGAATTTCATCACAAAAGTTAACAATCCTAGTAAAAAAAGATAACAGAACTGTATAGAAAATCTGCTCTATATCAGAAAAGGGACGTTATATCAACTGGAATAAAAGAGAGCTTTCCAACTGTTTAATACAAAAATTTTTCAGAATCCCTTGGAAAGCAGTGAGACCTTCCATTCAGACTATAATCTCCTTACTGAAGAAATAAAACATAAATTGGTGTTTAAATGAAGGAGAATGATTTGTTAGTTGCAGAAATAAAATCAGATGTTTTCCATTATGTCAACTCTTACACTACATGACTTGCCTGGCCTGAAAACTTTTATGTCCCAAATCTTTCAATATTTTAAGCTATAATCTTTCTACAAACATACAATAAGGTAAAAGAATGTGGTAGGATCATCCTTTCTACTAGCTTTTGTCCACCTGCTAATCTCAATTTCATTTGACTAACTTCTCTGATAAAGTAATTAATAAAATCTATCTTTATACAGAGAAAAAAATAATTCTGCCTTTGTCAAAGTCATAATCTATCTTTCTTGGACATCCAGAGAAAACCAGGTGCAATCATTGGATAAATAAAAAATGATGAGGCAAATAAATATCCAAAGTGAAAATACTTTGAGTTTTAGAATGGGTTTTATAGAACTTGAGTTTTAGAACTCTTTCCTCTGTTAGGCCTCCACTTTGTACCACTTAGTCTACCACTAGAAAGAACAGATATCCACTTCTCTCAAATCCTTTTCATACCTTAAGCTATGAGGCAAGGTTCAGTATCACCTGAATACCATGCTGCCACTATTTAAAATGTAAATGAATAGTTATGATACCTGCCTGTGTACTGATACAGATGGGACACTCATCCACTGAAGCTACTGTAATATAATTTCTCAATAAATAACTGGAAAGTGCTTCCTCCTAGAACTCAATAAATCATCATCCAATAACGAAAAGACAGGTACTCAAACTTTTGATCAGCAACAGGTGTTCTAAGAAAGGTAAGGCAAAGGAATTTCCCTGAGCCAAATGGATACAATATGGAGTTTTTCTTATCTTTCTATATTAAGCTAATTTACTGATAGGTTAAAAAAAAGCAGTATACTTATAAAAAAAATCAGGCTACTTCCATAAAGCCAGTGCTTACTAAATATTAGCATATCAAAGGGGGAAAACACTGTCATTTCAAAGCAATATACTTAAAATTTCAAAAAATAGCTCATGAGAAACAGCATTTTCTACACAAGTTAGGTATAAAAAATTACAAAAAAATGTATTACAGTCACAAGCATAGTCTTCAGATTTATACTCAGAAAGTCCGTTTTGTTGTTGTTGTTGTTTTTTGAGACAGAGTCTCACTTTGTTGCCCGGGCTAGAGTAAGTGCTGTGGCGTCAGCCTAGCTCACAGCAACCTCAAATTCCTGGACTCAAGCAATCCTTCTGCCTCAGCCTCCCAAGTAGCTGGGACTATAGGCATGCACCACCATGCCTGGCTCATTTTTTCTATGTACATTAGTTGGCCAATTAATTTCTTTCTATTTATAGTAGATACAGGGTCTCACTCTTGCTCAGGCTAGTTTCGAACTCCTGATCTTGAGCAATCTGCCCGCCTTGGCCTCCCAAAGTGCTAGGATTACAGGCGTGAGCCACCGCGCCTGGCCGTTTTGTTTGTTTGTGTTTTTTTTTTAAAGAATACATGCATAGCAAATTTTTATTTTCATCAACTTCATCTTCTATTGTTAGAGCACAAAGAATTCTTGTTTAGGACTTTGATTTAAAAAGAAAAAAAAACAAAACAAAAATACATGCAGAGTGCTATTCCTCAACATGGCTATAGAAAAATTTAACTCAAGGAAGTACAATGATTGAGATCAGGCAAAACTGCAGCAAATACTCACTCACCATAACAACTATAATTTAGTCCAACAGGAGTGAACAATCCTCTACGCACGGTAAATGGGGTGAAATAAGAAAATTGGTAGTCTGTGTTTTATTTTGTTTTAATATAGGAAGGATAATGCATTCTTTAGACCATCTACATTAAATATGCTTTAGAAACAAAAATTTACTTCATATTTTGACAAACCCTCCCTTCATTCCTTAGGTTAATTTGTGTTAGTCATTGTACTGCTATAGCTAAATCAACTAAGTATCAGTTTATGTAGTGTTGCTCAAAAGATCTACAAGTAGCAAGCTCTATGCTTACCTAAAAAGGAGCTTTTTAAAATAAAGCAAGCAATAATGTTCCAAATGAATGGCACTGGGCAAAATATATATAACAAACACATTAAGACAGAGTCTCAGATGCCCATCAGCTTCTAAGTATAAAATGCTTGCAGAAGACGTTTAAAAAACCATCTCTTCCTCTAAACTTTTAGCTTCTACATAGTGTCAGATGTTTCAATTGGTAGGAAGGATAAATGCTTTTAGGCAAAAGCAAAGATATATCTACAAAGCAAAATAGCAAAATATGTAGTGAATTTCTGTAGAAGGCTCTCTTCTCTGGTGGCAATATTCTTTAGTACATATCCAGGACAGACTAAATTGAAACAGAATATTTCTGATACAGTAGCAATCCTTTCATATACTCTTACTAAATATTACAAAATTTCAAAAAATACATAAATATTCCTTGTACCATGCATTATGCACCAGTTTGGGGCTGCCTGATGAAGTCATGGCTACTATTTTAACATCACACATTGCACCTCCAAAGTTTTGACATCGATACACAGTGATGTGTGCCATTGGACAAAATGGTTAGGGATCCCGAGATGGCAAACCACCTCTAAAGTGAAAAGTTTGTGATGGAGTGTCTCCAAATTAGAGGAGAGGAGGATACGGGTTGGGGAGGCAGGGTAAAAGGATTTCAAAATAATACTGCTTAGGAGTGTATATTTTAAGATAACTACTATATCTTGTCTATCCTTGATCCTAATCTTGAATAACTGCATGTTCATGCAAAATATAATTTCTACTCTAGGAAGAGAAGCAGTCTGTTAGGAAAAGCATATTCTTAGGGGAAGACACGAAGATATCTCTGTCATAAGTGCTATTTTACTTGGTGAGTCTTTTGGCTACATCACTATATGCTATTTCAACCTCCTTATCACTGGGACAGGTATTGGTGAACTCATCCCTACTATATGCATTAGTTAAATATCTCCAGATGCCAGTCATTCCTTTTGGAATATCAAAGTTGCGGTATTTTTTGGCCACCACCTGAAATACAAAGAGATCAAAAGTTAACAGATTGATTTTCCATGTCTTATAAATGAGACATATCTCTGATTTTAGAGCCAATTATTAATGCCATATATCTTTGAGAACTGCTTCTATTTGAAAAGAAGTCTGTCACTATCATTCTAACTAGAGTTTTAAATAACTACCAAGACTGCAAGCTACCCCAGAGATCCTGAGGTATAACAGTGACTGCAAATGCCTGCCTAGGACATACAGAAAGACAGCCAGGTGTAATCATCAGATAAATACTTTAACACACACACACAATGTTTGGATCACTATTTTCCTTATCTTAGATCTCTACTGCACAATAGTGCTTATTACTATTCTATATACTTAGCAATGTGCCTACCCAGTGTCTCACATAATAAATGATCAGTATTTTTTTGCCTTGAATAGAAAAGGCCAGGTGATTACAGAACAGAATGTGACAATATAAATCATTATAGCAAACTCCAATTCAAAGTGATCTATTACATCTTTGAAAGATATTTTTATGCAGTTACAAGAAAAAAAATTCCTCTTCTCATATGTCTTGATTTTAAGATGTAATATTCCATTTAATTAACTCTACAGTATTTCAAATATTGCCTAAACCACATTAAGTTACACTATTTGGGGGGCTGCTAGTCATATGAGATCAGAAATGTTTTAAGCACAAAGGAAGTGCTACCTTAGTAAATACAATACTAGGTAATAGCAATGTCACACCACATCCATAGGCCTACCTTGACAATATGCAGTTTGGGCAGCAGGTTGCAATCAGCTAATGTCATTTCATTGCCATCCAGAAATTTACGTGTAGAAAACTTAATGTCCTCCATAGAATTTTCATCAATTTCATCAGGGAGTGGAGAATTCAGATATTCATCCAGTTTCTGCAGTGTTTTCAAGAGACCTCTCTCCAGGGCTGAAAAACAGATGGGAACATTGTAAGCCCAATCCCCAAAGTAGAAGCATTACTCTGACACTAGGCACTGTGTCACTAGAACAAGACAGATGGGCTTCCTGCTCTCCTACCACCTTGTTTACATGGTAGGGGGATGAGACATATTTGTTCAAGTAAATGTATAAAGAAGCATGATAGTTTCAGACAGTTATATTTATAAAAACTGGCTAATAACTAAATGCCCCACACATGAACACAGCTAGCCCAACAGAGTCGACCATTTAAACTGGGGAAAATGGGTGGGAAAAGGCAAACATTAATTCAAATCAACGGAAGAAAATCTTGCAGAGACAGAGATTCCTGCCCTCAATTTTAATTCCTACTCCCCCAGGAACATTTGGATTTATCACCAAGAAATATGTTAAGAAACTCCAATACAAACAACCCAAGCAGAGAGCCTGGGATTTTTGTACTGTCTCACAGAAGAAGCTAAGAATGGCACTACCTTATACAAAAAGCCCAGAGGTCAGATTAGAGAGTTCAATTTACAATACTGAAGTGGGAGCCTCTTTAGCCAAATAGATTAAGATGCTATGATTATTATGATTCAGGGAGAAGAGGGACAGAGCCACCACTGTACATTTGGCAGGCGAGAATTCTATCCGTCAATCACCCATGTACCACCACTGTACATTTGTAAAGTCAAGGTTAGTGACCCTTAGCAGAAAGGGACAGGAATGTCATTAAAGGAATATGGAATAACAACAGATAAATCTTCTATTATCCCTTTTACCCTTTACTTCCCAATCCACCTTCCCTTCTCAAGCTCAGAATAGATGAACTCATTGATGATTACATAATTTGTCATAAAAGAAAGTTAAATATCATGAGGTGACAATCCACGTAGCTGTAAGATTGAATAAAGTTAGGTCCTTTAAGGAAAAAGGTAAAGTTTTACATGCTGCATATTAGATATCTTCCAGCAGCATAAATACGTCCTAACCCAATACCTCTTCTTCCAAATTGCTGCCACCCACTCATCCCTTGGTCCCTTCATGGTAGTCCAGACAATAGGTGATAGTCTTAGTTAGGTAAGGGGCTGTAGGCACAAAAAGGAATGAAGAGTTTAGGAGATAAACCAAGAGAGCTCAGAGACCAAAGTGAACATGGAGAAAGAGGAATAGGATGTTTTCAACATAACATAACTTGAGTCCCTACTATGTGCCAAGTCTTGTTTTAAACATTGTTAATGTTTTCAGTTGAATAAAACATAAAACGTTCCTATTCCCAGAAGCTGTTCAACAAACTAACAACGCCCAGGGCGAATGCTGGTGCCATTTACTGAAATATTTACCTTCCTAGAGGTAAAGCAGATTTAGAGGATGCGGAGATGAGTTCAGTAATATGCCGAGTTTGAGGTGCCTGTAAAGACATGTGAGATGTACAATAGACAAGTTTTCAGTGTCATAGACTGGGCTGGAGCAATATTTGGAAGTCCTGAGAACATAAATGAACAATGAAACCATGGAGTAAAGGAGAGACAGAGGGCCTATGGAAAGTCCTAAGGAACCTCATTTAAAGGACAGGTAGGAAAAAGAATCTGCGGAGAAGATTAAAAGGGAAGAAATACACTCTTAAAGAATCTCAGAATTCAGGGTTGGAAATGCCTTCAAATCCCAGCTCAATCTTTCATACCAGGCAGGCTCCTACAAAATGCTGTATCATTGGATTACTCTTATGCAAAAGCACAACTGATTTTTATAATGGCCCCATATCCAGTAACCTTGCTAATTCACTTTTTTCTTACAGTTTATCTGTAGAGTCTTTTGGAATTTCTACTTACACAATTATATTGTTTCAGAATAATGATCTATTTATTCTTTCCTTTATAATTCTCATGCCTTTCTTTTTCTTGCCTTATTATACTGGCTAAGACAACTAGTAAAATGCTAAGTAGAAGTGGCAACAGTGAGCACCCTTTTCTAGTTCCCAATCACCAGGTGAAATCTCTCACTATTTTCTCATTAAATATGGATGATTACTATAGTTCTTTGTAGAATTTATCAGATTAAGGAAGTTTCCCACTATGCCTAGTTTGCTAAGACTCTTTTAAAGAACAATGAGTATCATGTTGAGTATGAATAATAAATTTTATCAAATGCTTTCTTCTGCTTCTATTAAAATGGCCATATAATTTTTCTCCTTTATTGATCTGACAATGTATACAGATTTTTGAGTGTTTAAACAATCTTCTATTCCTGAATGAAACCCAACTCAGTTGTGTGTATTATCTTTTTTCATTTTGCTGAATTTGGTATACCTTTTGTCAGACTTTTGCATCAGCGCTCAAAAGAGAGAGTGCCCTGAAAATGTCCTTTCTTTTGATGTTCTTGTGTGCTTTTGGTACCAAGGCTCAAAAAGCAAGTTGGAAAGTATTCCCTCTCTTCTATTCCCTGGAAAAGTATGTGCAAGCCTGATGCTACTTTTCCCCCAAATGCTTGAAAGAGTTCATCAATGAAGCAATCTGGATCTGGAGTTTTCCTTTTAATTATAAGAAAACTTACATGATTTTTAATTATAGATATACGACTATTCACATTTTCAATTCCTTCTTGTGACAATTTTGTTTCACCAGTTTTTGTTTGAAAATGTCTACTTATTAAAATTCATAAATAAAAATCATCATGTTCTTACATTCTTTTTCAGCTAAAAACCTTGGTGAATATATATTAAGAGAATTGATTCTCACAGCAACAACAGGGCATAAGAAGGGTAGATATTATCCTACCTTATAGATCCAGAAATAAGAGACTAGAAAATTTGCCTTATTTTAAGCATCAAAGGAAAGAGATTTTTGACATCCTGGAATTTAACATGTTATGACTTGGAATTATAAATTAAATGGGGTAAATCATAGAAAAGGTTGACTGGTTTATTAGCAAGTATATCAATCCAAGGCTATAGATATAAATGTCACATCTTGAAGCAAAGATAAAATATTTGGATGTGTTTGCTTTCACCTAGTATTTCACTACTTATAGAATTCTAATTTGCTTTCTGTCAGTTCACTGAAGATCTCATACCATTGTCTTCTGAATTCCACTGTTCCTATTGAGAATCAGTGCTCATTCTTATCACTATTCTCTTAAAGGGTTTTCTCTGACATTTTTAAGATTCTGCCTCTGGTTTTCAGCAATGTGACTATGATGTATATAGGTGTAGTTTTCTTTTATATTAGTATTTGTGCTGCTGGGTTATATAATGCTGATTCTATGGCTTACCATCTTTCGACAATTTTGGAAAATTCTTGGCAATAATTCTTTACGTGCAGCTTCTATTCCATTTTCTTCTCTCCTTCTGAGACTCCAGTTATACATATGTCAGACACCTTTATCATTGTGCTCCGTGTCTTATCACTCTTCTGTATTATTATTATTTTTTTGTCCTTTTGTCTCTTTGGGCTTCTATTAGATATTTCCTTCTGACCTATCTTCCAGTTCACTAATTCTTTCATTATTGTCCAAACTGTTACATTTCTCTATTGAGTTCACAATTTCAGATACTATAGCTTTAAATTCTAGAACTTCCATCTGATTCATTTTTATAATTTCTACTTTGCTGAAATTCTCCATCTTGTTTTTTTATTTTTTGAGGATATTAAAGGTATTTTAAATCAGTGTCTGGTAACTGAATACCTTCTAGTTTATAATATAGTTTTAAAAATGTATTAGTTATGTTTAGTCCATGATATGAGCTCTAATATTAATAGATTTTTTAAGTTATTAAATTTTTTAACTCAGGGCTGGTTTATATTAAACAAAATCATATACATCTTCCTTCTAATTCTTGTTATTAAAGTAATCCATCATTCTTGCTTTCCTGACCCTATGTTCTTTAAAAGTAGAATATGTGTCTTGTGCTTCTTCTGTATCCCCTAAAATTCATAAAACTTAAACATAAATTGGATTGGTGAACACTTGGCCAAGACTAAGAAAGGCTAATAATTACATATAAAAGTTTTGGGTTTCTTAAAATGTATGAAGAAGATTCAAAAAGAAATTAGCTGGGCCGGGCGCGGTGGCTCACGCCTGTAATCCTAGCACTCTGGGAGGCCGAGGCGGGCGGATTGCTCAAGGTCAGGAGTTCAAAACCAGCCTGAGTGAGACCCCGTCTCTACCATAAAAATAGAAAGAAATTAATTGGCTAACTAATATATATAATGCCGGGCATGGTGGCTCGTGCCTGTAGTCCCAGCTACTCGGGAGGCTGAGGCAGGAGGATCGCTTGAGCCCAGGAGTTTGAGGTTGCTGTGAGCTAGGCTGATGCCACGGCACTCACTCTAGCCTGGGCAAGAAAGCGAGACTCTGTCTCAAAAAAAAAAAAAAAAAAAAAGAAATTAGCTGAAAAAGTAGAATGAGGGGGCTGAGAGAACTGACCTGCCTTCTTCCCCCACCTTCCTTCCTCCTTCCTTCTCTCCGTTCTTCCTCTTGTGCCACCTGTCTCCTTTCTCTCCTTCCTGCAATTGTTCCTTCCTCCTTCTATAAATGTTTATTAAATGCCTGCTGTGTACAAAGCATTGCTCTAAGAGCTAAGATGTAGGAGTGAACAGACAAAAATCCTTGCCCTTGGGGAGCTTACACTCTAGTGGGGGTAAAACACACAATACATACAACCAGTGAGATAAAAGGCGAGAAGTGCCAGATTGCTATTTCTTTCACCCAGCTCAAGATAAACTGAATGTTTTTTTAGCAGCTATGTTATATGGGAGGTTGGCGAGAGGAGAGCAGGGTAAGTAGACAATCTTGAGCCTCTAGAAACACATTCAGCAAAAATGATGTACACAATTGTGAGAGGTCCAGGAAACTGAGAACGAGCAAAGGAACTGCAGCTGCACAGGGCTCCATGGCTTCCCCATTATTTAAAAATAATTTATTATCTCTTGTTCTCTCTTATTATCTCTTATTCTAACTTGCTGTATCTTTCTGACCAAGGGAAGGGGAGGGAAGGGCAAAGAGGAGGGA